CGGGGAGAGAGGGTGGGCCTAGATGGCAGATAGCGGTGCCGGCCACGCGCACACGTCGAAGGCCACCGAGGCCCAGGTGCTGCGCTCAGCTCTTCACGCCCATTAACTTGGTGAATTCGCACAACACCCGCTAGATGAGGCAGTGGAGGCACAGAGAGGTTAAGTGACGTGCCCAAGGCCACACAGCTGGTGAGATTTGAGTTTTTAATTAAAAAAAAAATCCTCACCCAAGGATATGTTTCTATTGGTTTTTAGAGAGAGAGAGAAGGGGGGTGGGGAGAGAAATATCCATGTGAGAGAGAAACATTGATTGGTTGCCCCCCGTATACACCCAGACCAGGGATCGAACCCCAACCCTAAGGATATTCCCTGACTGGGAATCGAGCTACACCCTTTTGGGGCACCAGATGATGCTCCAACCAACTAAGCCACCCAGTCAGGGTGAGTTTTTTAAAAAAACTTTTAAGAACTTTAAAAAATATATATATTTTTATTGAGTTCAGAGAGGAAGGGAGAGGGGGAGAGAGATAGAAGCATCAGTGATAAGAGAGGAACATTGATTGGCTGCCTCCTGCATGACCCCTATTGGGGATCAAGCCTGCAACCTGGGCATGTGCCCTTGAGTGGAATTGAACCCGGGATCCTTCAGACCACAAGCCGACGCTCTGTCCACTGAGCCAAACGGGCTAGGGCTTTACTTTTTAATTAATTAATTGATTGATTGGTTTTTAAAGAGAGGAAGGGTCCTGGCCAGTGTTGCTAAATGGTTAGGACATCAGCCCTTGCTTTGAAGGGTCTTGGCTTCAATTCCAGGTCAAGGGCATGTATCTGGGTTGTGGGCTTGATCCCCGGCCCCAGTCTGGGCATGTGCTCTCTCATATCCATGTTTCTCTCTCTCTCCCTCTCTCTCTCTCCCCTCACCCTGCTTCCCTTCCACTCTCTCCAAAAATCAACGGGAAAAATATCCTCAGGTGAGGATGAACATAAATAAATAAATAAAGACAGAGAGAGAGAGAGAGAGAAAGGGGCAGAGAGAGAGAGCGCGCGAGAGAGAATCATTGGTTTGCTGTTCGACTTATTTTTTTAACATATATATATATTTTATTGATTTCAGAGAGGAAGGGAGAGGGAGAGAGAGAAACATCAATGATGAGAGAGAATCATTGATCGGCTGCCTCCTGCCCCGCACTGGGGACCTGCCACCCTGGCATGTGCCCTTGACTGGAATCGAACCCGGGACCTTTCAATCCGCAGGCCGACGCTCTATCCGCTGAGCCAAACCAACCTGGGCTGTTCCGCTTATTGATGTTTGCGTTGGTTGTCTCGTGTATGTGCCCTGACTGGGGATCAAACCCGCAACCTTGGTGCATGGGGATGACGCTCTAACCACCTGACCTCGGCCAGGGCTCTGAGGGTTTGAGTGTTTAAAGCTCACACATGTTCACTCTAGTGACGAACATAACATGAGAACAGAGCGCCGTTCTTCAAACACACACGCACTTCAAAGGGGCTTGGCCTCTCAGCGGCTACTGAGCTTCTCCTTTACTTTTGCAGGGTGGAGGGAACCGGGGGTCGGGGGGGGCGCCCCAACTTCCCCTCCGCCTTTCCTGTTGTGTCAGCCCTGGCGGCAACTCTGGGCAGCGCCAGCAGGCCGGCCCCGAGTCAGCAGAGAGCCTGAGAGCCAGGCCGGCCTGCAGATCCACCGTCTCCCCCAGCTCTTGCTCCGTGTCACGTGCTGTACGCACAGTAACTCCTCAAGGCCTCCCCAAACCGGTGAGGCAGGTTCACCTGGGTGACTCTCATTTCTCAGACAAACTGCATCCGGGTCACGGAGCCTGGATCTGCTCGCGGCCACTGGCTGTCCTGCCTTCTAACTCTTCCGAATCTAAGGTTTTTGGATGATAATAGTCTAGGGCCCGGAGTACCAGAGTGGGGCTAACACGGTTTGAAACTCAACTCTGTTTCTGGCTTAGCTGGGCGATCTTAGGTAAGTTACCTAACTTCTCTGTGCCTCGGTTTCCTCGTCTGCAGAATGGGTATAACAGCGGCATTAAAACCAGAGGGTTGTTAGAAGGATCAAACAATAGGATGGCCCTAGCCGGTTTGGCTCAGTGGATAGAGCGTCAGCCTGCGAACTGAAAGGTCCCAGTTTGATTCCGGTGTCAAGGGCACATGCCCAGGTTGTGGGCTTGATCCCTGGTTGGGGACTTGTAGGAGGCAACCGATCCATGATTCTCTCTCATCATGGATGTTTTCTGTCTCTCTCTCCCTCTTCCTTCCCCTCTGAAATCAATAAAAATATATATAAAAAACAAACAAACAAACAATAGGATGTTTAACGGTGCTTGGAGCAATGCCCAGCACATAACACACAGTGCTCCGTAGATAACGGCTTCTAAGAATAATATTAATGATCATACCAACAACAATAATTACTATTGCTGTAATCCCGTGGTCGGCAAACTGCGGCTCGCGAGCCACATGCGGCTCTTTGGCCCCCTGAGTGTGGCCACAAAGTTTCAATCACACTGTACGTGCGCGCCCGCACATGGTGTTTTGCGGAAGAGCCACACTCAAGGGGCCGCAGTTTGCCGACCACTGCTGTAATCGATCATGTCGCTTCTCTGCTCAGTACCCGCCCATCTCACATGGAATACAAGATAAGGTCCGAAATGCCCCATGTGGCCCCTGATATCTCTCTGTTCTGACTTCCCCTTAATCTCCTCATCTATCACTCCAGCCACATGATGTTCCTTGAACGTGGCCATCACATTCCTACCCCAGGGCCTTTGCACTGGCTGTGTCCTGGGCCTCAAAGTCTCCCCTAAACCCACACACAGTGCCCTCTCTCTCTTCCTTTATGGCTTTGCTCAGACGTTACCTTCTCAGACACACCCTCCCTGACCACTCATTTAAAATTCCAACGCAGGGAATTAACACTTCCCTGTGTGATTTTTTCTCTCTCTCGCCATAGCATTTGTCACCTTCGGAAATACTTAGTATTTTGCTTGTTCTTCTCCTGTCTGACTCCTCCCACTAGGGTGGCAGACCCAAGGGAAAAGGGTTTTTGTTTTGTTTTGTTTTTAAAATATATTTTATTGATTTTTTACAGAGAGGAAGAGAGAGGGATAGAGAGTTAGAAACATGGATGAGAGAGAAACATCGATCAGCTGCCTCTTGAACACCTCCTACTGGGGATGTGCCCACAACCAAGGTACATTGCCCTTGACGGGAATCGAACCTGGGACCTTTCAGTCCGCAGGCTGACACTCTATCCACTGAGCCAAACCAGTTAGGGCTCCTTTGGAGTCTTTCCATCTCCACATTCAAGAAGCAAACAGTCGCTGAATTTCATGAGATCTTAGTATGTGCTGGGCTTCCTACAGTCTTTATGGAGAAACGGTCTTTAACTCATCGAGACCTTGACTGCCTCGAGGAGGCAGGGGCACGTAGTGCTTATAAGGGCCGGCCCCAGGGTCAAGGTTTCTTGGGTTCAAATCTCTGTTCCTTTCTGGCTTTGTGGCCGCGACCCTGGCCAAGTTACCCTGACCCGTTGTGTTAGTTTCTTTATCTATGAAATGGGGGTCACCCTTAGTACCCACGACATGAGGTTATTGTGAGGATTAAACTATACAGGGAACAGAAAGCACTTCTAACAGAGCCTGGCACCTAGTATGTGCTCATTACATCCATGTTGCTGATGGGTGAGTGTTCTAACATGTTAATGCGCCAGAACTTCATTGTCCAGTAAGGTAGCCACTAGCCAGGTGTAGCTATTTACATGAGTTAAAATTAAGTAACATTGAAATTTTACTTTCTCAGTCACCATGGCCCTACTTCTTTTCTTTTTAAATATGTTTGTATTGATTTGAGAGAGGAAAAGAGAAGGGGAGAGAGAGAGAGAGAGAGAAACATCGATTGGCTGCCCCCTGCAGGCTCCCTACTGGGATTGAGCCCACAACCCAGGCATGTGCCCTGAATGGGAATTGAACAGGCGACCTTTCGGTGCTCAGGACGATGCTCAACCAACTGAGCCACGCTGGTCAGGGCCCCATTTCCGGCGCTCAGTGGCCACCTGTGCTGGCGGCTACCACGGTGGACAGCACAGACACGGAACATGTCCACCAACATCGCGACTTCCACGGGACAGCGCTGCTCCCCAATTCCGAGTAACAACCGGCTAGGGTTCCAATAGTGTCGTATTTCAGAATTCCAAGATTTTTAAAAAATATATTTTTATTGATTTCAGAGAGGCAGGGAGAGAAAGAGATAGAAACATCAATGATGAGAGGGAATCCTTGATCAGCTGCCTCCTGCACGTCCCTTACTAGGGAAGGAGCCTGCAACCCAGGCATGTGCCCTGGACTGGAATCGAACCCAGGACCCTTCAGTCTGCAGGCCAATGCTCTATCCACTCAGCTATCCGGCTAGGGTAGAATTCCAAGATTTTGTATCTCTATCGTGTCCTAGCATTGTAATATTCCCGAGTTCCGAGATGCCCATAAGCAGGAGTCTAACACTGACTTGTTTTAGAATTCCAGAAGGCTCACGGGCCAGTGCTCTGTCCTTGCATTCGAGAACTCCAGGATTCTAACGGGCTGAGGTTCTAGGTTGGCATATTCTAGAATTCCAAATGCTAACCAGCTAGTCCACTGGTATTGCTAGAAGCCCAGTATTCAGACACACCGGCTCTCCAACATTGTCATATCCTAGTTTCTTTTCTTTTCTTTAAAATCCTCATCTGGGGAATATTTTTTCCACTGACTTTTAGAGAGAGAGTGGAAGAGAGAGGGAAAGACAGAGAGAAACATCGATGTGAGAGAAGCACATTGATGGGTTGCCTCCTGCACGCGCCCTGACCAGGACCGGGCCGGGGAGGAGCCTCCAACCCAGGTATGTGCCCTTGACCGGAACTGAACCTGGGACCCTTCGGTCCACAGGCCAGTGCTCTGTCCACTGAACCACACCAGCCAGGGCTCGTATCCTCATTTCTCAGATCCCCATGGGCCGGGTTCCCACACCCGAGGATTCCAAGCGGGGAGAGTTTCGTGGCTGAGGTTGCGTGGCTTTTGTCTCCTGCCCAGGTGTCTGGATGGAGAACGCGTCTCTCAGCGACGAGTACGACTACAGCCACTATGGCGAGGAGGTTTCGGATTTCCCCGTGGACTGCGCCGACGGCACCTGCGTCGCCCTCGGGCCCCTCCGCGTGGCCCCTCTCCTGCTGTACGCGCTGGTCTTCCTGGTGGGGGTGCCGGGCAACGCCATGGTGGCCTGGGTG